ACGCGTGATAGACAACACCGCCCCGGGTTTGGACGACGAGGAGCGCCAAGAGCTCCGGAGGCTTAAAGAAAATCCTTCCAGCCTCAAGAGCCATCCGGAGTATGTCCGAGCAGTGGTTGGTCGAGGCGGGTCTTAGCCCGATGCCTCGAGGTATGCCCTAAGGGGTAGTTTTAGGGTTTCTTTTAGGGATTATCTAGTCAGCTGACCAATGTTAGTGCTTTTGCGTAGAGATGGTGGTTCTCCGAGCCCTTCATGGGGGTAAGACCTCGTCGGCCCCATCCACTCGTTCGCCGGTCGAGGCGAGGGCTAGCTCGAGAGAGGCCCTAGTGGATGTTGAGGCCTGTCGTCCTCGGAAGAAGGCGAAGACTTCCTCAGCAAAAGCCTCTAGGGAAGCTGCAGCTCAGCCAGCGGGGGCCATCGCCGCACCGGCCGGCCGGACCGAGAAGAGCCTCGGGCGAGGAGAAGCCAGCTCGAGTAGGGAGGCGGTGGGGAAGGCCCCTCGAGAGCCCTCCATCCGCGAACTTTGCCGCCTTCAGGCCAGGGGGGAGGACGAGCCCTACCAGGCGCGGGCGATAGGTGACCTTCCTCAGGGCGAGTCCTCTGACTTGTTGACGGCCTGCTGGGAAGGCCTTACCCGAGGCAGCCGGGTGTGGGCCGATGGGGATTCCGCGGCCGGGTTTGTCCGCGGAGGGCTTCATCCCGACATAGCTCAGGACCTGTATACTCTGCCCTCTGAGGTCCTTCTTGGCAGTTCTGCCAAGTCGCTGCTGTGGGTAAGTGTCATTCCGCTGGTTCGGTTGCGTGTGTTCGGATAGTTCTCGTCCTAACTCATTTGTCTGCAGGGCACTCATTATGCCGCGGCGCTGATGGACCGCGTTCGCGACGCGGGGCGGGTCATCGACATCCTGAGTGACCGCAATGCCAATCTCCGGAAGCAGGTGGAGGAGGTCCGCGCTGAGGCGGCTCCTGAGGCGGTCACGGCAACCAAGCAGCGCGCCTCGGATCTGGATACGGAGGCGACACGCCTCCGATCTGAGCTCAAGGCGTCCGAGGAGCGAAATAAGTAGCTTCAGATGCATCTGAAGGTGTCTGTGGCCGAAGCTCGTTCGGCAAGGGGGGGAGTCGGTCGAGCTGATCCGACGGTTGTAGGAGGCGCGTGCTGAAGCGCGGGGGGCTGCCGAGGCTCTTGCCGTCGAGATCCGTCAAAGGCCGGAGAAGGACAAGAAACTGATCAAGGACTACAAAGATTCCTCGGGCTTTCAGCTTGGCCTTGTTCGGACTAGGCGGGTTTCGTACGAATACGGGTACCGGATCGCCCTTGCCCGCTTCAAGGCGCGCCACCCCGGCCTGGAGGTCGCAGAAGATCCTTTCGACTCCTTCCCCGAGGACATGGGCGTCGACATGCCGGACGAAGTCCCATTTGATGACAGCCCTGACACTCTTGAGGAATAAATGTAGACTTTTCTGTATTTTTCTTTTTTTGTTGTTCGGGTGTTGATCACTAATGTGATGCGCTTCCCAAAAAATAATATAACTGTTTTTACCCTCATCATACTCGTGTGTCTTTTTTCCTGGCTTGTGGTTTGCCGATCACTAATGCGATGTGTTATCTGGTGTCATAATATAATTCTAACTTTTGTTAAGTCCAAGTTCATCGCATTACGGAAAGAACTTTTTGAGATTTTGCGAGTTCCAAGTCCTTGGCAAAGCGTGACCCTGCATCGTCGCGAGTCGATACGTACCGACCCTAACAACTTCGATCACCCGATAAGGGCCTTCCCAATTGGGAGCTAACTTCCCACGTGCTCGGGTCGGGTCGCTAACTTCAGCCCTGCGTAAGACCAAGTCACCCAGCTTAATTGGTCGAGGCTGCACCCTACGGTTATAGATTCTAGTGACGGTCCTTTTATAGGAGAGGTCTTTCAGGTGCGCGTTAGCGCGCCGCTCCTCGAGTAGATCGAGATCGGCTCATAGTCACTGGGCCGATACTCGTTCATTGTAGCTTGCCGTCCTCGGGGTAGGGAAAACCATCACGGGGGCCAAGACAACCTCGGTCCCAAATGAGAGGCTATAAGGGGATTCTCCGGTTGCGGTCTTGGGGGTGGTCCGCAGGGACCACAGGATACTGGGGAGCTCATCCACCCAAGCTGATTGGGCCGCTGACACTCTCCTCTTGAGTCCGCCTAGAATAGATCAGTTAGTGACTTCGGCCAACCCGTTCGTCTGGGGATGGGTCACAGAGCTGAACCTCAACTGAATCTCGTAGTTCGCACAGAACTCCTGGAATCGAGCACTGGTGAACTGGGATCCGTTGTCTGTGATGATGGCTTCGGGCAAGCCAAACCGAGTCACGATGTTTTTCCAGACTAATTTCTCCACTTGCCGCTCCGTGATTGTTGCTAGTGGCTCGGCTTCTGCCCATTTGGTGAAGTAATCTACGCCCATGACGATATATCGTCGTTGCCCCGAGGCCAGTGGGAAAGGGCCGAGGAGGTCCAATCCCCATTGCGCGAACGGCCACGCACAGTCAATGGGGGACAGGGGGACCGCCGGCAGCCGGGGCATTCGGGCGTGCCTCTGGCAGGGCCCACACCACTACACGTAGATTCTTGCGTCTCGGGACATGGTGGGCCAGTAGTATCCTTGACGAAGGATTTTGTAGGCCAAGGTCCGACCAGCAATATGCTCCCCGTAGATCCCCTCGTGGACCTCGGCCAGGACTGCCTGCACTTCGTCAGGCTCCAGGCATCGCAGCAGGGGCTATGAGAAGGATCGCTTATAGAGCCGTCCGTTCACCTCAGAATACCATGCTTGCTTTCGGCGAATGCGCCGCGCCATGGCCTCGTTGTTGGGAAGAATCCCGTCGCGTTTGAAGAGCAACATCTCTTGTACCCACGTGGCGCGCGCCTCGACAGGAGTTATAGCCGAAACCGAGATGGCGCGGAATGGGAGCTCTTTAACCTTGATGTGGTTTCCGTGGTATGGTCCTGAGGCCATCTTTGCCAACTCGTCGACTCGTTCATTTTGGCTCCTCGGCACCCTGGATATCGTGAAGTGGGAGAAGTTGGAGGCTAGGCTTTTTACCTCCGCTAAGTACTTTGCCATGGTCGGTTCCCTGGCTTCGTATCCACCGCTGAGTTGCTCGGCGACGAGCTGCGAGTCAGTGAAGATGTGGATGGTGTCCACCTGCATTTCAAGGGACAGCTTGAGTCTTGCCAGGAGTGCCTCGTACTCGGCTTCATTGTTGGTCGCCCGGAACCCAAAGTGGAAGGAGCGTTCGAACGAGCATCCGTCGGGGGCCGAGAGTACCAACCCCGTGCCCGCGCTGCTGGTGGTAGCCGAGCCGTCCACGTGTAGGTCCCACACCTCCTTTGTTTGCTCGAAGCTTCCATTCCTGTCTTCAACCAGTTCCGCGATGAAGTCGGCCACGGACTGGGCTTTGATAGCAATCCTCGGTACATAATGTATGTTGAATTCTCCGAGTTCTACCGACCACTTGAGGAGCTGTCCTACAACATCAAACTTAGACAGAACCTGCCGGAGCGGCTGGTCAGTGATTACCTCAATCGGGTGAGCCTGGAAGTAGGGGCGTAGTTTCCGAGACGCAAGTACGAGCGCCAAAGCGAGCTTCTCGATTGGCGGATATCGATCCTCAGGCCCATTCAGGACGTGGCTGATGTAGTAGACCGGTAGTTGTTCCCCAAAAGCCTCTTTTGTTAGGACGGAGCTGACTGCGTGTTGGGAGGCGGCTAAGTAAACGCTGAGCTTTTCCTCGAGAGTAACCGAGGCAAGACGGGGGAGGTTGGCCAAGTGCCGCTTGACTTGTCTAAAAGCCTCTTCACACTGCGCCGTCCACCGGAAGTACTTAGGGTTCTTCAACACTCGGAAGAAGGGGAAGCAACGATCACCAGACCGAGATAGAAACCGGGATAAGGCAGCAAGTCGTCCATTTAGTCGATGTAAGTCCTTGACTGTTCGAGGGGCCTGCATGTTGATGACCGCCTGAACCTTTTCCGGATTCATGTCAATTCCTCTTTCATGCACGATGAATCTGAGGAACCTTCCCGAACTGACGCCGAAATCGCACTTCGTCGGGTTTAGTCGCAGGTCATACCTTCGGAGTGTGGAGAATGTCTCGGCCAAGTCGGTCAAGTGGTCTGCCGCCATGTGACTTTTCACGATCATGTCGTCAACATAGACTTCGACGTTTCGCCCGATTTATGCGGCAAACATTTTGTTCACGGCCCTCTGATAGGTAGCGCCTGCGTTTTTGAGCCCGAACGGCATGACTTTGTAGAAATACACCCCTAGATCGGTGATGAAAGCCGTGTGCTCTTGGTCCTCGGGCACCATTCTGATCTGGTTGTAGCCGGAGAAGGCGTCCATGAATGACAGGTGGGCGTGCGTCGACCAGCTGATCGATCCTTGGGAGGGGATAGCAGTCTTTTAGGCATGCACGATTGAGACTCGTATAGTCAATGCACATCCTCCAGCTCCCATTAGATTTCTTTACCAGCACTACATTAGACAACCATCGTGGGTACTTGACTTCCTCGATGAAGCCAGTCGCTAAGAGTCGCTCCACCTCTTTGCGGACAGCGAGTTGCCTATCAGGGGCTTGACGTCGTGGTTTCTGTTTTACTAGCCGGGCATCGGGCGAGATATTCAGGTGATGCTGGGTGGTCTCTGGGTCGACACTGGTCATGTCGGATGGCGACCAGGCGAAGACATCGGCGTTCTCCTACAAGAAACCGACGAGCTGCTCCCGTTCTTGCCCGGGGAGTTCCAACCCGACCTGGACCGTCCGATCCAAGCGATCCTCCATCAACGGTACGTTGCAAGTGGGCGTCGTCGGCTCCGGGTGTGGTGTCGGTCGCTTTGGGTCCTCTAGAGGTTGGTCGGTCTTCGCCCTTTTGTGCAGCGAAACCGCCGTCAGGTAGCATCGTCTGGACTCTTGGGGCCTTCCCCAAACTTCCCCTGTCCCGACGTGGGTAGGAAACTTTATCGTCTGATGATAGGTGGAGACTACAGCTCTGATTTTGTTGAGGGTGGGGCGGCCAAGGATGGCGTTGTACGCAGTAGGAAGATCTGCCACCAAGAAGGTGGACATCACGGTCTTTGTTCTGGGCGGCGTTCCCAAGGTCAGGGGCAATGGTGAGACCGAATTGCCGGTGAATCCCGTGAGCGCCGAGCAGATAGGCTTCAGGGATTCTTTGGTTAACCCTAACTTCTGGAAGGCATCTAGATAGAGCACGTCGGTTGAGCTCCCCGTGTCGATCATGATTCTCCTTACCTAGGCATTAGTGATTCGAGCCATTATCACAAGTGCGTCGTCATGCTCCGGTCGCTTGACGTCCTCGGGAGGGAATGCGACCTTGGGGTCGGGGCCGCGTTGGGGAGCATCAGTCCTGGCGGAACGGGCATATGCCTTCCTCCCGAACATACTGGTTCCCCCAGCCGCCGGTCCTCCAGTGATGACATCGATGTGGCGCTCCACGGGGCCCTCCGGGCGAGGCGAGGGCTCCCTGTTCCGTCGGATGTACCGACTGAGGTGACCCCTGCGGACAAGCTCCTCGATCTGCCGTTTCAGTTTGCGGCAGTCTTCGGTGTCGTGCCCGCTTTGCCCATGAAAGCGACAATGCTTGGACTGGTCGGCGAGCTCTCGCGGGTTTTTCATCGGGACGGGAGCCCTGAGCAACCCTCTCTCCTTTATCTGGAGAAATATCTCCGTTCGGGACGCGCCCAGGGGGGGCAGAGGGGGCCTCAGAGCGAGCGGGTCAAATCGGTCCAGCCTGCGCCTAGTCGCGGCAGGCTGCTATCCGCGAGCCAGCTCCGGTCTGACCCTTGTGCGCTCTTCCTACTTTTTGGCCATCCAAGCCTCAGCCGCGACGAACTGGTTCGCCCGCTGAAGCATCTTAGGTAGCGCGGTGGGGGGTCTCTCAACGAGGGACCAGAAGAATCGGGAAGGTCGTAGTCCCACCATGAACGCCTGCATCAATAGAGAGGGGTGAGCATCGGATAATCCCCAGATCTGCGTTGCAAAACGGTTCACAAAGTGGGAGAGGAACTCGTCCTCCCTCTGGTGTAGTCCGAGAAGCAAGGCAACGGACGGTTTCGATCGTGCGTTGGCCAGGAAGTTGAGCTCGAAGTCTTTGGCGAGCTGGTCGAATGAGGCGACCGTCCCGGTCCTCAGGCCGCTGTACCACGCGCAGGCTGGTCCTCTTAGAGTTGTGGGGAACGCCCTGCACATCAGAGAGTCAGAGGTTTCATACAGTGCCATTTGGGTGTGGAAGGCAGCTACATGGTCCGCTGGGTCGATGGAGTCATCGTATGTGTCCAGAGAGGGGAGACGAAAGTTCTGTGGGACTGTCTGATCCTGTATTTCAGGGACGAATGGGGATCCCTGATGTACGTCCTCCCCGAGCTCTCCTCTTGACCTGCTGACCTCCTTCTGCACCTCGTCAAGCCGTTGACTGACGAGGAGCAACTGGGGTCGCAGGGAGTCCGTCGAGGCCGAAGGAAGGGCATCGGGTTGCGCGTGGCCTCTCCGGTCCGCCGTCACTCAATCCCCAAGTGGGGACGACGGGACCCGAGGTGAAGCGGGAAGCTCCAAGGGCTGCGCATGAGCCTGAACGGGCGGCTCCTGCTATCGCACCGGTTCAGCGGCCGGCGGGTGCACCATACCGGTCAGAACTTGGACCTGATGGGTGAGGTCGAGAAAGGCCTCAGACGAGACGGGCGACGGTTCGGCGGAGGGGGCGTCAGGCGGCAACAAACCCAGGTCGTTGAAGATCCGCTAATAGTGCTCTGAAGTTATGGTGGGGTGTTCGTTGCGGAGACCCGTCCACGGGGAATGTTCCCCTGGAGCCCCGACTGGGTGCGTCCCCTCGACTGCGGGTTCAACCGAGTCGGTCTGGCAATCCCTCGACATGAGGGCCCTCCTTCTAGCGCCAAAATGTTGGTGTAAACAACTTTAAGCCGTGGCCTCGGGGCCGACGCGGTTCGGTTCAGCTCCGGATGACGGGGGATCTCTCGGGGGGGGGGGTTCCTCGAGACTGCAGAGGTTGCCGGCTCTGGTCGGTTCGGTCGTGGAGGTGGGTCACCGTTTCCTTCAGGAAGGGGCTCCTTGCCAATGTGTTCAGAGAAAGGCGCCTCGTCTTCGTCCTTGCACACAGGTCGGGTTGGGATGCTCGACCCGACCCCTCCGATGATTAAGTTAGTTAGTGGTCGTAGAAGTTTTTCCCGTGTTTCCTCTCGTTCCCTCTACCCTGGCGCTCAGAATGCAAGGGTATTTATAGGGGAGTTTAGTGTCACCTGACGTGCCTGCTCGCAGGGGCCAGGATCGTACCTTCTGATGACGTCTGACATCGCTGTTGGCGTGACGTGAGGAATCGAAGCTGAGTGGTCGTTAATGGGCATCGGTTGGCGTTTCGGCCCGTATCGGCTAGGCGCTGTCAGCCCGACAAAGATGTGGGGCGTCAGTTGATGTTATGCAAGTCTTATCGTAATTATCACCCTCATCAAGTTTGAATTAGCATCAAATGATAATTAGGTAATGAAATTAACTGCAGTGAAATAACTATAAATTTAAATTCTTAGAATATATGAAAACTTAGCATAACTAAAAATGTTTAGTTTTCCTCCTGCAACAGTTTAACCAATGTGATGGTGCAAATCTATTAGGTCATAAATAGACTCTTATCTCTGACCAGACGTTATTTTTGTCTTCGTGGCTCTCCTGCATCCTCGTCTGTGTCCACCGTCGCAAATCCACGGCCATCTTCTTTCTTGGCCCTGTCACCCTAACTCCTCTATATAAAGAAGGGCCAGATTCCTGTCACTCCTCACCCATCCGACCTTGGGGTCATCCCCTTTCTCTTCTGTAGGATAACCCCATTAGTCTCTGCCTTGGTAGGCCACTGCAAAACCTCTCAAAGCGTTGTTTAGAGAATAGAGAGGCAAACACCATGGGGAACATGAAGGTTGCTGCTCTCAGCGTCTCCGCCATCGTCCTCGTGGCAATCGTGGCGACCGTCGCCGTCACCATATCGAACCTCGACTCCGAACCGGCGAAAACACAGTTCTCAAGCTCGCAGAAGAACATCAAGGACTTCTGCAACCCCACCGACTACCAGGAGACTTGCGAGAGCACCCTCTCCGCGGCGGCCGGTAACTCCACCGACCCCAAGGAGCTCGTCAACCTGGCCTTCCAGATCACGATCGACCAGATCAAGGAGGCCTTCAACCACTCCACCGTGTTGTCGGAGGCTGCCAAGAACCCACGCACCTCCGATGCGCTCGAGAACTGCCGCGAGCTCCTCGACTACGCCATCGACGATCTCAGGAGCTCCATCGACCAGCTCGAAGGCTTCTCCCTGATCAAGCTCGACAAGTTCCTGGACGACCTCAAGGTGTGGATCAGCGCCTCCATCACGTATCAGGAGACGTGCCTCGACGGGTTCGAGAACACGACCACCAACGCCGCGGAGTCGATGCGGAAGGCGCTGAACAGCTCCGCCGAGATGACGAGCAACATCTTGGCCATCGTCATCAATTTGGACAACACGCTCGACTCCCTCAACCTTGGTATCAGCCGGAAGCTCCTCGCCGAAGAGTACCCGTCGTGGGTCTCCCTCGGCAAGAGAAGGCTCCTCCAGCTGAGCCCAGCCGAGCTGAAGCCCAACGTCACTGTAGCTCAGGATGGCACCGGCGACGTGAAGACCATCAACGATGCCCTCCTCCGCGTCCCGAAGAAAAGCAACCATACATTCGTCATCTACATCAAGGAAGGAGTGTACAAGGAGAAAGTTCAGGTTAACCGGAGCCTCACCAACGTGATTATGGTCGGCGACGGGACGAACAAGACTAAGATAACCGGCAGCCTCAACTACATCGACGGCACCGCGACCTTCAAAACCGCCACTGTCGGTGGGTGCACCATGCGCTAAGTTGTTTAGGTAATGGTGAAGTGCTGGTACTAACGACTAAATTATTCGTGTGACGACGCAGCTGTCATTGGCGATGGATTCATCGGCAAGGACCTCTGGATCGAGAACTCGGCCGGGGCGGCAAAGCACCAGGCGGTGGCGCTCCGTGTGCAGTCCGACAAGTCGGTCTTCTACAACGTGCGGATTGACGGGTACCAGGACACGCTCTACGTCCATACCAAGCGCCAGTTCTACCGCGACTGCAACATCTCCGGCACCATCGACTTCATCTTTGGCGACGGCGCGGCGGTGTTACAGAACTGCCTGATCCTGGCGAGGAAGCCGATGGACAACCAGCAGAACATCGTGACGGCGCAGGGGCGCAAGGACCGGCGCCAGGCCACCGCCATCGTCCTCCACAACTGCACCATCAGCGCCGACCCCGCCTTCTTCCCCTTCCGGGAGAAGCTGCCGACGTTCCTCGGCCGGCCGTGGAAGGAGTTCTCGAGGACTTTCGTTCTGCAGTCGCAGCTGGACGATCTGATCGACCCAAAGGGGTGGCTTCCGTGGTTCGAGAACTTCGGCCTCAACACCTGCTTCTACACCGAGCTCGACAACCGCGGCCCCGGCGCCAACACGAGCCAAAGGGTGAAGTGGAAGGGGGTGAAGACCATCGGCTACGCCCACGCCCAGAAGTTCACCGTCGAGCACTTCATCCAGGGCAACACATGGTTGCCGAAGTCCGGCGTGCCCTACATTCCCGGCCTCCTGCCGATGACCGAGGCCGGCAGGATCCACTGATGAAGCCGCTCTGTTAGGTAGATGACAGTCCAACCGCGCACGTCCCTGGCGGAGATGTTGGAATGCAGCTAAATCTCTTGGTGATAGCAACCAAGTGTAGAGGTTTTAGATGATGACCGATGTTGTTCCGATACATCAACCATTTCTATTTTGTTCATCAAGGAAATGGTTCAACTTTACCACCTAGCTTGCAAGATGATTCAAGCTAGTCGTCATGAAAATTGTGTAGTACAACAGCATGTAGGAAGATAAACATGAACAGAAACCATGCATGGAATTTGAAGAAACTAGAAAAAGTATGTTGAAATAGCTGATACATAAGCAGCCTAATGTATCAATTCTTTTTTGGTGTATCCTACACCTTATTCATCATCTCCATTTTCATGTTGGTTCAATTATTCATGATCACATATTCATGAATGGAAGGAATGCCTTCAGTGTAAGAATGAAATTACATTTTTGATGTGGGATAACATAAGAGATGTTGGGTGATATCAATATCTATTTTTTTTTCTAATTGTACCCAATTAACGATATCTTAATCTATTTTAAATGGATACATTAGACAAGGATATCCGAATTAAAGAAAACTCTACTCCATTATCATCTCTACTCACAAGAACAAGACTTTGAGGCGTTAGTTGTAGCTTCAGGATTGTGTTTGATCGGGCTTGAAACAACCTCAAACACTGAGCCAACTAGAAAAGAGACCTCCTTCCTGAAAACTCTTATCGGTCTTTGTCCCCTTCCATTTCGAATACCTCTCAACCCCTTGTTGCTTCATCGATCCTCGTTCTGACAGCGAGCATGGGAGATGTTCGGCTCCCTCTCAGGCTGTCCTCCACATACGTCATCCATCTCCGCTGCTACAAGTGAAGGGGGCATCCATTTCCCTCCCTCCAATCATTTCCCTTTTGCCTTGACCTTCTTCAGGTTCCCCCCGCAACCTCCCCATGCTGTTCCCCTTCTCCTCCAGAAGAAGAGAAGGCCATGCAAGTGATGGTGGCGACACCAGCAACTCGAATCTATCGAGCTTGGATTCTTCTGAACCTTTCACAAGTCGCAATGACTCGGGCAAATTGCAAGGAGAATCTATCGAGTCTTTGGCAAGCAATTACTGGTGTCGCCGCTTGATAACTCGCTGAAGGACGAAAAAGAGACTGATATCGATCAAAATAAATCTGAAACGAGATCAGATAAGTCAGAGGCCTCTTCACAGGATGGTGAGGCATTAACAGGCTTACGGCCGGACGCTCCTAGTGACGTCCTCAAGATTGAAACAGGCGATCATGACACTGCCACCAGCGAATTTGAAGTCGGAGCGGATGACTCTTTGTTCTCAGTAGAGCAATATGAAAAGCTGGAAACGGAGATTGAGGTTACACAATCGTCGCCGATGAGTAAGGAAATAGAAGCACACGAAGCCCATCCCAACCAGAGGGACGATCCTTCCCTGGTCATGGAGCTAACCGAGAGGAGTTCGGCCAGTTCTTTTACCCTCTTCAAGAGCAAAATGATGCATGGCATTAGCAACTCACGAGGGTTGTCATCGATGGCCATGCAGTGCTTGAATAAAAGATCTGCTGTTTCGTGGTCGACTTTGAAGAAGCAGCAGCAAGCTGGTGAATGTACCGGACGTGAGATTTGGAGCAAGAAAATCCTAACGGGGAAGCGGTGCCGGGAGCGACTGTCATTCTTTCATTTCTGACGGATTCGACCACAAGTGGAAGAAGGAGGAGTGATAGAAGATAAGATTTTCTTACTTATACGATGTCCTAATCTATATATATAAATAGGAGAGGAATAATTCTTCAATAATTATTTTTATTTTTTATTATTTTTATCATGGTATTAGAGCAGTGATAAAAAAGCAAAGCTTCACTCTTGTTTTCGGCTAGCGATCAATGTCGTTGAAAAAAACAAAACTTCACCTTTGCTCTACTTGCGATTGGTATCCTTGACAAGAGCACCATCTTGTAGGGGCATGATAGAAAATAAGATTTCCTAGGAAATCTTTAGACTTTGATACCAAGAAAGAGACAGAAGTGATGGGATATAAAAAGAAATAACCTTTGTATATGAACAAATACTATGAGACCATAATACGTAGCGGAATAAAATGGAAACACAATCAAACAGAACACCAAGATATACGTGGAAAACCTCTTCAATGTGAAGGGTAAAAACCACGGGGCAAACTAGAGATAATCCACTATGAGAATAATGAATATACAAATCTCAATCTCTTGCCCAAAACCCTAGCAACAACCACAAGACAAGGATCACGTCACTGCCCACAATATCTAAAACCTCCTCAAGTAATCCCGTGGCCGTCAAGATCTGCCTCGTTGCTGTCTTTTTATAGCATTTTTCTGCTTCTAAAATGCAGCCACCACACCCCTTAATCTTAATTAGGGTTAGGTTAAGAGGGGGTGTGGGCTGTGGGCTGCCCTAGCCCACATGGGCTGAATATGGGCTATTAACCCAACAAGAAGAGGTTGAGATCGCACGAACTGTAGAGAACTGTTGGAACTGGGATGCAGTTTCATTCAGAGGATTCAGTTCTTATTCTTCTTTAATTTAGCAATCATGAGTAAGATGAGTTCTTTTGGCTTGCAAATAAGCAACTGCTGGAAACTTGTTATACTTCGTGAACAGTGTTGTCTTTTTTTCCGGATACGAGATCATGTCTGCATGTTATCGCAGAGGAATAGAGCTTCATTATCTTAGCAAACGTGTTTCATATCAAGTTCCTGTTTCCGATGCTATTAAATCTCCAGAGCCTAAAGGCAGGAGTCATTATTATAGTGGATGATCGACCAAACTAAATCTTGCTCGTATAAGGTGTTTCTTTGAGATGCTGATCCAAATATAAGAAACCAAGATTTTAGCTTGAAAAAGGTACTTGTCCTTTTTATGCAGCCTTTTAAGCCAGCTTCCACGGTTCTTTTGATGCATCTTACTGAGTAATCTTTTCTCATGGAATACAGATAAGTTACGGTCGACGCTTTCACCAAATGTTCTAATTATCCTATATGTTTTCTGTTTCTAAACTTAACCACCAATATTTCTGTCTCTAAACTTAACCACAGATCTCTCCGTATCTGCCAAGACAACTCTTGATTTGTAACAGCAGAATACACATTGGCACATGCCACTGTGCTATACTTGGAATGTACATTGTATAATAATAAAATTATAATTATGCTATTATATGAAATAATTTAATATCAAATTTTGAAATTAAATAGTTATAGATCAAATATTAGATGTGTATATCTTTTATATTATTCAAAATATTTTTTATTTATTCATAGAACTACTTTAATCTATTGAATATAAAAAAATTGATCTAGACTCTCCTTCACCTCTCTTTCTCTTTATTATAGACCAATATAAATGATGAAATACAGACTAAAAAAAATGATAATAGATCTACAATCTCATGTTGTATTATGTTATCATACGTATGCGAAAGATCATATTTATTTATAAATAATTATATGAGTACTTCCCATTAATATAATATCATGAGGAATCTTACCATAATTTAACTTCTTCTATGGACCGATAATCATAATCAGAATTAAATCAGATTTATAATATATCTTATCTAATTAAATAAGGTCACATAATCTAATAATACATACTTAGTCTATTAATTGATAAGATATAAAAGAATTCAATATCATAATAAATAAAATATATAAAATATATAATTAATTTTATTTAATTGGTTTTTAAAAATTTTTAAAAATATTTTACATGTAGTCATAATTTTTAAAATAAGCAAATAAGTACAATAATACTCTATTAAATCTTATTACTAATGCGAGTCATAGTAATTTTATATCATCAATATCATACTATCTTTTATGTATTACAATACTATTAATCCTTCCTAATGCAGTCCATAATGATTTATATAATTTATCTTGTCAAGATATTTTTATTGTCATATTAAACTATAATATCCATATATATAAATATAAACATGATGATAGCAATAATAATATCTACTTAAACATTTATCATCATATCTTTTATTAATTGCTCACAAGCCTTTTTCTGAGAACATATTCTATAAACACTTTAGACTATAAAACTTTAATAAATAGATTAGCAATTATCAAAGTGATGCTTAGATTCTTAATTGGCCCTCATTATTTTTAAACTTTTTATTTGTCCATCACGTGCTTTATCTCGATATGCTTAGAATCACTAGAATACTTATCATTCTTAAATAAAAAAATAATACGGTGTTATCATAAAATATCTTTAGCAACCTAGCAAATGAATTGACCATACCAAGTTCTAAAATAAAATTTCATAGCTACAAAACTTGATTTATGATCTAGAAACATATCATAAATTCAGTTTTCATTATTAATGATACAAAAAGCAATTACTTTATATTTTTTCAAAAAATTATTCCTCCAACTAATATGAATATGAATCCTGAAGTGAACTTCCTACTATCGGGGTAATTTACAAAATTAACATCTGAATATCTCATCACTTCAAGCTTATCTCATCTTCTATATGTGCATAAGTAGTCTTTCATCCATTGTAGATATCTCATCATTTTTTTATAGTTTTTCAATATTCCATTCTTGAGTTGTTATGGTATCTACCTAATATTTAAATTATAAAACTAATATCTTATTTCATATATGTTTAAGCATATAATAGACTTCCAACTATGTATATATAGGAATATCCTTTATTTGATTTTTTAAATCATTTTTTAGATATTAGTTTTTACTGATTTTTTCATTTCTAGTAATAGATGTATTATTAGTCGAACAAAGTTGGGTCCTAAATCTCATAAAGACTTGATCAGTATACCCTTTCTAAGATAATCCTATTAATTTTTAGGATCTATCCCTAAATATCTCAATATCAATAACATAAAATATTTTATTCATATCAACCATTTTAAAATTCTTAATGAGAAATATATTAGTTTCGTACAATAAATCAATATTACTGATGATAGTAAACAAAATATCATCCATATATAATACTAATATAATAAATTACTATTTTTAGATATATACATTAATTAGTAGTATTTTTTAAAATTTAAAAAATAATGATATAATGAAATTTTATATACCATTGTCTAAATGTTTGTTTAAGGTTATAAATAAATTTTTTAAGTTTGTAAGCCTAACTTTTCTTTTCCTTCTTTTGAATCCTTCAGGTTATTCAATGTGGATTTTCTAAGTCTAGATTCTCATTTAGAAATATTATTTTCGTATCCATTTGATATAGCATAAGATCATAATGAGCTATTAATATCATGACAATCATCAATGAGTGAAAAATTAGAAGAAAAAGTCCCATTATAATCATACCTTTTTTTTAAGAAAATTTTTTGACTAATAAGTTTGACTTTATATCATTCAATTTATTTTAAAGATATATTTGTAATCGACTCTTTTACAATTTCTAGATAATTCAATGAGTTTCCATATATCATTCTAATCGATCGATTTCAACTCTTCTTACATTATAACATTTTTTAGAATTACCACTTTCAATAGCTTGTGAAAATGATAAAGGGTATTTTTTTATTTCTTATGTCATTCATTTTTCATAATTATCATTTTTCTATGAAAATGATAAAGGGTTTTTTTTTATTTCTTATGTCATAATCTGATTTTTATATATATACCGATCATCAGAAATGATATGTCTTCTTTTCCTTTGAGATCTCATCAAAACTATCAGTTATAGTTATTCTACAAGATCATTCATAATGACATCAACATTATATGAGAGTTTATTAATATTATTTTATTATTCATCCTTATCAATTCACTCAATGATTTGAGGAATAATATTTTGAATAATAAATAATAAAAGAGCATCAACCTGTTTTTCCTCTATATCAAAATTAATCTTTTGAGATTTTTTACTCATACTAATTTTGTTATTTTCTAAGAATTTTACTTTACTGTATTCTACTATCCTCGAACTATAATTAGGACAATAAAATCTATCCCTTAGATTTTTCTAAATAACCAATAAAATATCTAGAAATAGTTCTTAGATTTAATTTTTTTTTCATGTGGATTAAAGACACTTATCTTTGTAGGACAACTATAAACATGTTAATGTCTCAAACTGAGTTTTCTACTAATCCATAACTCAAATAGAGTTAATTAAATTGACTTACTAAGAATCCTATTCAAGATACATATAATCGTTCTAAGAGCTTCATCCCATATCGACTAAGTACAGAGTATTAACTCATCATGCTTATAATCTTATCCATAAGAATACAATTATACTTTTCAACAATGTTATTCACATCTAGTAATAAGACAAACTGAACATAAATACTTCGATTTTCTAGGAATATAGTAAAAGGGTCAAGATTCTGACTTGACTCATTATAAAATTCGCCACTCCTATTATATTTGATAATTTTAACTTTACAATTTAATTGTCTTGCAACTTCATTTATGTAAATCTCAAGAGTGTCAATAACTTGAGACTTTTTATGTATTAGATGCATATAATCATTTCTTGACAAGTCATCTATAAATATAATGAAATATCTTTCTCCACTAAAATAAAAAAATATGAAGTGGTCTACAAATAATAATATAAATAATCTTAAGAAATTATTTACTTATTATTATATTTTTCTTTGTGTGCTTAGTTTACTTTTCTTTAATGTAATTTATGCAAAAATAAAAAAAATAAAGTATAAATCTTCCAAAGTATTATCCTTCATTAATTTTTTTATTTTTTTCTTAGAGATGTCTCAAACATATATGTCACAAGAGAGAAGATTTTTCATTTAAACTATATTTCAAGCTAACATTTGATAGTAGAGTCGCTAATATCCTTGCAAACTCAAGATTCAAATTAATGTGGCTCTCTTTTTAGCGTTATTGGGAGTCCAATTGATGCTACATGATGGTAGTTTCGCTACCAAAGAAGATGAAGATCAAAGCGCTACTCGTGGACCCTAAGGATCCTAGCAAGACCTCTCTACACCCCGAACCGACAGGGTAGCTGGTCAAGGTCCTTATCAACAAAGCCCTACCTAATCAGGTTGTCAAGGTTGGAGCTGTGCTCCCTTAGGAAATCTGCATCCAACCGATTGACTTCCTTGAGAAGAACGTCAACGTCTTTGCTTGGTCACCAAAAGACATGTCATGCATTGACCTAGAAGTCGCACATCACCACTTGAATATCCTCCCCGAGACTCGATCGGTGAAATAGAGGTCCCGCAAGTTTGCTATTGACCACTAGCAAGCAATTCATGACGAAGTGGAAAAGTTGTCAGAAGCATGGTTCATTTCTGAAGTTCGTTAACTCCAATGGTTGTCCAATGTTATGTTGGTAAAGAAAGCTAATGGAAGTTGAAGGATTTATGTTGACTATACCGATCTCAACCAAACCTATCCTAAGGACAACTACCCTCTCCCACACCTTGGGGACACCACCTCGAGGCAAGAGCTCCTCACCTTCATGGATGTCTTTTAAGGTTACAATTAGATAAGGATGACCCCTCGAGATTGGAAGCACACCTCTTTCATTATCGACCGAGGCATATATTGTTATGAGATCATACCCTTCGGATTAAAGAACATGAGGGCAACCTACCAAAGAGTGATTAAACAAAATGTTTAAGAACTAGATTAGAGGGAACATGGATGATATGATAGTTAAAAGCAAAACATTAGACATATATCTAGCAGATCTGGTAGAGACATTTTAAACCCTGAAGAAGTTCAGCATGCACCTGAATCCTTACAAGCGCACCCGATATGGGTGGTCATTGACCAACCACTATGATAAATCCTCTCGAGATTCGGCATCTCAAGGCATATGCTGAAGTGGTCAGTGAAGCTTGGAGAATTTGACATTTAGTATGTCTCGAGGACTGCCATCAAGGCTCAGATACTGACGGAGTTTATATTGGAGTTAGCACCCTCTCCCGAAGCAGAAGGAGGAGAGCATGCCATCCTGACCTGGACCTTATTCATTGATAGTTTAGCCACTTCAGAAAAAAGACAACTTTTGGGGCTCACGATCCCCGAAAGGGTAAAATCGTATAGATACGCCCAAAATGGATAATTTCTCATGAGCCTACGAGATTACACCAATAATGACCAAATATTGACTTATCAATTATTTTACTTAATATGTCCAAATGTTGATTTATCAATTATTTTACTGAACATGTCCAAGATCCAGTTTATAGACTTCTTGAGGGATAAGATGCAGAAAAAAATAAATATAAGGATTGATCCAGTTTACGTCAACAACCTCCTGTCAATGCTTGATTGGTGGTAGTCTTAATGAGTTTTTCTAGATAGCCAATAACCTGCAACTATCACTACATTTCTTCGGAGGTGAAAGCTCCACAAGTGTGATCTAAATTTAGCATTTGACTTATTTAACCAATTCATATATTCGCATCTGATTGTTGAAATGACTGCCTTTTCGGATTGGCTAAAAATCAAAGAAGAATGCAATCAAAATGTGACCTTAAAATGTGACTCCCTAAACAATCCTGCAACCAAGTTGGAAGGATGATTATACTTAAAATGGTTTCTTTAAAATTGTTGTAGCACTTGATGGGAATTTGTGGTGTAGGAGTACATGAAAGCCTGATAGTTATTAGCTAGCTAGCTAGCTCTTTTTTGCTTGACTGGTCATGCATTTCCCCTTCTTTTTTGCTTCATTCAAATGATAATGAACGTCTGAATGTTTTAGAGTTCTGTCTGCTAAAGTAGTTGGTGATATGTACACTCACATCTACGTGTGGTGCCTGGATATCATCTTTAATGTCATTTGTGACATCCTTCAACCTAGTTGAGGCAGATTCAATGCAAAATTTAGCTGAGTTATGTTCTCTCTTTGGAATTCTAAGCTTAATTTCATCCATGAATACCATGTCAATGCCTCAAACTCTGCGAATCAAATCCTCGTCGTCTTTTCTCGTCTTGCATGAGGGCGCATCATCATGCTGTTACCTTACCTTTACCTGGAAATACTAGAGTGTACCTCAACTGCACTCTGCATACCAAGGGAACTCATAGGCCATCCTGATTTAGCACTACAGCGTTGACATGTTGAGTAGATCCAGAGGGTGCAGACAGTGAAGAAAGAAATGAAAGAGGAGCTTCATAGGTGTGACTACCTTTCCGACGACCAAGCTCAGGAGAAAATAATTGCTGCTATAAAAGAAACAACTGATGAAGAAAGTGCACTGCTAAAAGCAGCACATCATGCACTTTGTTGAGGAAGTCATACATGATGAGTTGACCGTCGGTATCTATGGAACTCCCAGATTGTCGAGAACAGAGAGTCAAAATATCTGATTACTAATGCTCAGCTGATGCGTTGTTTTTTCTACTTTCTACTGCATTGCATTATTGTTGTTGTTGTTGCAGGCATGCATTTTTATTTTATGACTGTAATTTATTTATTTTCTCATGATGAAATAAAAAAAAAAAGGAGAAAATTAAGATATACCCACGAAGCTAACCGTATCGCACTTCCCGCCATGCCATCTTATCTGTTAGTTATTATGACGACACCGACGTTGGTGGAAACAGCCGTTCGAACACCCAACATCGAAAAAAGACGAAACAATTATGAACACGTGTCTTCCTTGTCACCCCGGCTTGCGTCGGACCATGCGTCATAACGCAGGACCGCCGAGTCCCTTGATCCACTCCAACTCCCGCCCATAACTAGAAACTGCCACTTCCCACATCACAGCCGTCCAATTGCTCATTTTAGGGGTTGCCCGACCGCCATTTGAAATATGAACGGTTTGATCAAAGTGCAACGATTCGAAGGGTTCCCGGACCCGATCCCTTTGGCTTTCCCATAAAGTAGAGGATACGGGAAAGCGATAAGCCCAGGTTCTCTGTTTCTCCAACTAGAGTACTTACTGTGGACTGGAGACGACGGAGGAGGCGGTGCTGTGGAGAATCCTTGATTTGAGCTTCTTCTCCCCTTTTGGTTAGGTCTAAGGTGCGATTTCTCTTCGCCGAATGATTTTGATCCAGTTTACTTCCTTCTTCAGTTCATTTTCCGACCGGCGGTGGTGGTTCGTTGGACCAAAGACTCGGTTTTGATGCCCCTTTGCGCTCTAGATCTCGATTTTTCATTTTCTTCGGTTTTGATAGTTTGTGTTGTTGGGAACGTGTTCACAAATTCGAAATTTTAAGGGGTGTTAGTGCTGATGAGTTCTAGGGCTTGGTGCAGTATGCTTCCGATTTCTTTATGATTGAGTTCGAGATGGTGGATCGATAGGGTTGGAATTGATCTGCGATAGCATTCATGAGTTGAGGTTATTGATGTGGCTGCTTGACTAAAACTTCATTGTGTGTGCCACGATGCGTGGCGGAGGCACCATGAGCTAGACTTGTATAGAGATTGCATTGAACTTATCTGTGATAATTGGCTTGCAATAATATGAAGCTTGATGGGGTTAGATGTACTATACTATACTTTATTTGGACATTACTGCCCTTCCACATGCATTGGTTCTGGATGAATTTGTGCCTGAGATAGAAGGTAAGTTTCCTTGGTGCGCATCCACTTATTAGGCCTGTCAAGTACTAACCATCAAGAAGCTTTATGATCATTAAAGTCCATGCATCAATTAAACAAGCTGGATTAAGGTTCGTCTAGTCTAAAAATAAGTACACAATCCCATAATTTTAACAAGGACTATGCCATTATCACTGAGCTAACATGTAGGCTACACATCCGTTGTATAAGCTTGAAGATTTTGAAACCTCCTTTGGGCTTTAAATAGGATCACATAAGTCCAATAGTTACTATGAGGATTGTGAGAATTACATAAACTTAAGTGTTGGACTATCAATTCCTGATAGCATGAACTTAAGATTGGGCTAATAAAGACAACACGAATGTTTGTTATTATGACTAAATTTTTTTTATTATGACTAATGAATATTTGTTATTTGACTATTCAATTGTTAAATTAAGACTCCTGAGTTCTTAAAGTCTAAGGGTCCCAGGAGGTTGGCCCTATCCCCAGTAATATGGCTACCTACCTTAAGAACTCAGTTGATTCATTTGTTATTTATGGCATCACAAGTCTAAGGGTCCCAGGAGGTTGGGCCCTATCCCCAATAATATGGCTAACTACCTTAAGAACTCAGTTGATTCATTTGTTATTTATGGCATCACAAGTCTAAGGGTCCTAGGAGGTTGGGCCCTATCCGCAATAATATGGCTAACTACCGTAAGAACTCAGTTGATTCATTTGTTATTTATGGCATCACCTATAAGTCTTCCATGGATAGGGTCAAATTGATAGTTCAAACACCTAAGGCAAAGCAATCCAAGTTTGTGCATGAGGAAGTGGAAAAGTATTTCCTTGTAGAATCACATGTGCATAACTATAAGATGTCAAAAACCTAAGGGGATTGTCTCAAGATTGGATTATTTCTTGGCTATGCAGTGGACTTGGACCTTGTTAATGCAATTGTCAATGAAGAAATAAAGGCCTTCTATTGCCTTTGGCCTTGAACTATATTCATTTTGTTTTTTTATTTGTGTTCCGGATGGTAACAGGTCCTGTATCACTGTGTCTCATACCAGTAAGTTGTCAGACTGATAAATACCACCCATACCATGGCGGTATTGCAAACCTTGCTAGAGAGAGATCATAATACGTCAGTGGTTGAGATATGCATAGTGCAAATGCAATATGTGACTGTTTATGCATATTACACTTACTGTTCATTTTAAAACATGTGAAGTAGTACAAATTTATGTATAGGAAAAAAAATCAAGTATAATAATTGATAGCCTGTTAAAATTTGACTTATGAGCTAACTTGTGAAAATTTTGACTTTGTAGACTAGTTCTCCCATATCACTCTTTAGCTGCTTAGGGCAATAAGATATCGTTGTAAACTAAGATAAAAGAACAAATCATGCATGGCTCCCATCTATCTAACTCCCTCATTGTAGTTGAGCACTTTCTAGTAAGTATCCATATGTTTCTTTTTTGTTTATCGCTTACAATGTAGTACTTCTAGTTTATTTATATATTTGTTCTTGAGGTTAGTTCTTGACATAATTGCGGCTGTAAAAATATTTCCTTGCCAGTTTGACATCTGCCGATAAAATGTGAATGTTCTATTAAGTCTTTATCCATGATGACTGCTGACCAGATATTTTCCTTTCTAGGAATGTAAGAGAGAATATTCTGCTGTTCTGTGATTGTTAGAGGATGGATGGCTGTGACTGCATTGAGCCACAATGGCCTGCTGATGAGCTTCTTATAAAATATCAGTACATATCGGACTTTTTCATCGCCCTTGCTTATTTCTCCATTCCTCTTGAGCTCATTTATTTTGTAAAGAAGTCTTCCTTCTTTCCTTATAGATGGGTTTTGATACAATTTGGTGCATTTATTGTTCTTTGTGGAGCAACTCATTTGATCAACTTGTGGACCTTTGCCCTGCATTCAAGAACTCTTGCCATTGTTATGACTGTTGCTAAAGTTTCAACTGCTGTAGTATCCTGTGCAACAGCTTTAA